TGGCCTCTTGTTAATTTAAACAACTTCTTCTGAAAAACCAAGAGGCCCAGGCTGATGATATTTAGCCAGTAGCATGCTGGGATGAAGGGCTACCAAGTTTGTTCAAATGAATGACCTTGACCCACTTTCAAGGTCACAGGGGTCAAATGTCTCAAAATCTTCAAACAACTTCTCCTCAATAACCAAAAGGCCCAGGGTACTGATATTGGGCCTGTAGCATGCTGGGATGAAGGACTACCAATTTTGTCCAAATTAATTACCTTGACCCACTTTCAAGGTCACAGGGGTCAAATATGTTAAAATCTTCAAACGACTTGTTCTGAATAACCAAAAGGCCCAGGGTACTGATATTGGGCCTGTAGCATGCTGGGATNAATGACCTTGACTCACTTTCTAGGTCACAGCAGTCAAATATGTTAAAATCTTGAAACAACTTCTTCTCAATAACCAAATGGCCCAGGGTACTGAAATTGTGCCTGTAGCATGGTGGGATGAAGGGCTACCACATTCAAGGTCACAGGCATCATATGTTTAAATCTTTTAATAGGTTCTTATTAATCAAACATTGATATTCTGCCTGTAGCTGTATTTTAGTCTTGTAAAAGAGGAAATAAAGAATGTCTGTCTGTCTTTACTAAATAGTACTATAGCGACCCCAGCAGACTTTAGGTCCTTTTAGAGGAGACCAGAAAACCCAAGCTATCAGGGTATAACCAAGCTTAGCTTGTTAGATTGACTTGATGAGGTTTTAGAAAATTAGCCTGTTAAATAATTGTGTGATATACATACTCTCTTGGGAGTGGAGTTATGGGGCCCAAAGTACAAATTTAGGCTTATTCCACCACACCATATGTTATCAGCAGGTTACATCATCTATAACCTATTCTGCTACCGTAATTTGTTGGAAGGTCTGTCATATATTTTTTTTTTTTTTTTTTTACACAATTTCGTAAACAATCTTGCTATGACCGAGATTTCTGATGGAGTTAAAATTAAAGTTTACACTGAACTGCTTCAGACTTATCTACTTATCTAAAGGGAGTGAGTCAAATCTTCCAAAATTGATATCTGTTTGGGAAGCCACACTTATCAATATTCATTAATATTTCCCATATTAACTTGTACATCAAATTTCAAATATGTTTTTGAAACTTGAATACAATTATCTCTTATAATAGAATGTCTGGTCTTTTCAATGCGAAACCATAGCCTTTTTAATAGATGACAGTAAGAATATCCATATCCAAGATATTTTTCAAAATTGCAGCTCTTGAAACCTGTTTTATCTTTCCAGGATCAATGCTGATACCAATGATTTACCGTGGGAGTACACAGTCAGTAGCTATCCAACTCTCCTCTTCTTCCCTGCCCATAGGTAAGTACAGGTGTACAGTCAGTAGCTATCCAACTCTCCTCTCCTTCCCTGCCCATAGGTAAGTACAGGTGTACAGTCAGTAGCTATCCAACTCTCCTCTTCTTCCCTGCCCATAGGTAAGTACAGGTGTACAGTCAGTAGCTATCCAACTCTCCTCTTCTTCCCTGCCCATAGGTAAGTACAGGTGTACAGTCAGTAGCTATCCAACTCTCCTCTTCTTCCCTGCCCATAGGTAAGTACAGGTGTACAGTCAGTAGCTATCCAACTCTCCTCTTCTTCCCTGCCCATAGGTAAGTACAGGTGTACAGTCAGTAGCTATCCAACTCTCCTCTTCTTCCCTGCCCATAGGTAAGTACAGGTGTACAGTCAGTAGCTATCCAACTCTCCTCTTCTCCCCTGCCCATAGGTAAGTACAGGTGTACAGTCAGTAACTATCCAACTCTCCTCTTCTCCCCTGCCTACATGTACATACAGGAGTACACAGTCATTAGATATCCAACTCTCCTCTCCTTCCCTGCCTATATGTACATACAGGAGTACACAGTCAGTAGCTATCCAACTCTCCTCTTCTTCCCTGCCCATAGGTAAGTACAGGTGTACAGTCAGTAGCTATCCAACTCTCCTCTTCTTCCCTGCCCATAGGTAAGTACAGGTGTACAGTCAGTAACTATCCAACTCTCCTCTTCTCCCCTGCCTACATGTACATACAGGAGTACACAGTCATTAGATATCCAACTCTCCTCTCCTTCCCTGCCTATATGTACATACAGGAGTACACAGTCAGTAGCTATCCAACTCTCCGCTCCTTCCCTGCTTATAGGTAAGTACAGGGGTACAGTCAGTAGCTATCCAACTCTCCGCTCCTTCCCTGCTTATAGGTAAGTACAGGTGTACAGTCAGCAACTATACAACTCTCCTCTTCTCCCCTGCCCATAGGTAAGTACAGGTGTACAGTCAGCAACTATACAACTCTCCTCTTCTCCCCTGCCTATATGTACATACAGGAGTACACATTCATTAGATATCCAACTCTCCTCTCCTTCCCTGCCTATATGTACATACAGGAGTACAAAGTCAGTAGCTATCCAACTCTCCTCTCCTTCCCTGCTTATAGGTAAGTACAGGTGTACAGTCAGTAGCTATCCAACTCTCTTCTTCTTCCCTGCATATAGGTAAGTACAGGAGTACATGTTTGTGCCAGTGATATTCCCTGCCCATAGTTAAGTATTGGAGTACATGGTCCAAGTATGTGTGATAGTGTTTGTATAATATAAATGAATTAAAACCACTCCCCAGTGTGTAAGTATTTCACACAAATAGTCATCCTCACTAGTGGAATGGGATGTTTGAAGTTATTGGGTTGACAAACTTACCTGAAGATGAAGGCTTTGTAATGACAATTTTACAATGCTCCACCTTTAACAAAGTGCTTATTTCAAGGGCAGATAATCCATGTAATTACTGAACTTCAATCTGAAGTTGTGTTCCTGCACTTACTTTTTTTATCTGGTGTTCTATATTTTATGGGAGTTGTGCCCTTTTATAGAACTATTTCGGGGTATTTCTTTACCTATGGCTTAGAGTTCTGGTCAATCTTACGATAAACATGTATGGAAAGTCTTACATATGTAAGTGTTACTCTGCTTGTATGAATAGTTTAAAATCTAACTCATAATTATGTGTTATTAGTTTTAAAATCTAACTCATAATTATGTGTGATTAGTTTTAAAATCTAACTCATAATTGTGTGTGATTAATTTAAAATCTAACTCATAATTATGTGTGATTAGTTTTAAAATCTAACTCTTATTTGTGATTAGTTTTGAAGTATTACTCATATATTTGATTAATTTCAAAATGGAACCCTATATGTATGAGTTTGATTGGTGGTATTGCTATATTATCAGCATAACTAGGTCTTATTAAAATATAAAGGTGTGGACTGCTTGTTGAACTTGTGGTTGTGTTCAGAAATAATTCACGGTCTGAAGTTGTAAAAGAAGGTCTTCTTTAATGACACAAAAATAATTATCACAAGTTTGAAATGATTAAACAGAAATTACTTTAACATATCTGATGCCCTACCTTCACAACTAATACCTGTAGTTATTATTCAGAGCATTTCACAAATGAAACATTTTTATTATCGAAGATAATTTGATATTCAAAGCTTACTAGAGATTTTTTGTTTTTGTCTAATTCTGGCCAGAAGGATTGGATGTGGACATTTTGGGGGTATGATAGAAATTATTTAGAATGATATTGGTCAATAACTCAACAGTACATGTATAGAAAATCTTAGTGTAATTCCTGTACAAATTTGACTTCAGCACTGAATCATTGTTGTTTGTTTGCCAATGTCTTGTTTTAAAATTAGCTAAAAAACAGCATTTCAAAGCACCATTTGAACAATCACTGTGCTCCGGTGAGTGCCAGCCAATGTTTCTGTGTCTCAGCACTTCTGGCCAATCAGTTGGTAGATAATTAGATCAGACTAGGTCAAAAGTCGTGACATTTGGTTTGAGTCTGGGGTGTGTTATGACTCATTGTGTATTTGTCTGTAGGGTGCAAGCATTTGAGGAATTTAATTAATTTTGTTGGTTGATTTCTCCTGAGAGAAGCCATTAAAGCGAGACAGTGGTGATATAATGAATGTTACTGTTGCCTTTTCTTCATTTGTTTCCCTCTTGTAAAGAGAAAAATAATGTCAGATTTGTATTCCTAATTGTTAATTTGTTAAAACAAGAATAATAAATAATTATTATGTCACAATAAAACTTCCACTAGCATGAGAATAATAGGATGCAATGAAGATAAAAATGTATTTTTGTATTTAAATAGTCAAGGGAATTAATTGATCAAAACACTAAAAAATAACTGATTCTAAATATTTTGTAAGGGACAAGTACTGTTGATACATAGCCTTGATGTTTATCATGTCTTCGTGTTATTGGCCATCATCTCGATATCAGTGCTCAGAATGGTCATCATCTCGATATCAGTGCTCAGAATGGCCATCAACTTGATATCAGTGCTCAGAATGGCCATCATCTGATATCAGTGCTCAGAATGGCCATCATCTGATATCAGAGCTCAAAATGGCCATCAACTTGATATCAGTGCTCAAAATGGCCATCATCTTAATATCAGTGCTCAGAATGGCCATCATCTTGATATCAGTACTCAGAATGGCCATCATCTTGTCCAGGGTATTCGACTTCCTAATAGCAGATGGTAAGCTATTCCACAACGTAGCCGAAACACTCCCAAAGCATCTGTTTCCATAGGTCACAGTACGTGATTTTGGGACACACAACAAAGATTCTGACTCCGACCGCTGTGATCTTGACGGCTGATACAGGGTAACAAGATCCTGTAGGTATTGAGGAGCTGTTCCATTCAGTGCCTTGTATGTGTATACCAGAATTTTGTATCTTGACGGCTGATACAGGGTAACAAGTTCCTGTAGGTATTGAGGAGCTGTTCCATTCAGTGCCTCGTATGTGTATACCAGAATTTTGTACTGCGACCTGTATCGTACAGGTAACCAGTGCAACGAATAAAGCGCAGGTGTGATGTGCTCTCTCTTTCAAGTACGAGTAACTAGCCGTGCTGCAGTGTTCTAAACCCTCTGCAGACGACTAGTTAGTTTGTCAGATATACCACAGAGCAGGGCATTACCATAATCCAACCGAGAGGTAACAAGTGAATGCACCAAAATCTTGCATGCATCTGCAGTTAGAAACTGCCGAATACAGCCCATGTTCCTGATCTGGTAGTAACAGGATTTGGCAATCGCGTTCACTTGTTTCTTCATGTTCAGAGAACTGTCAAAGTATACCCCTAGGTTTTTATACGCCCGTCGCAGACGGGGATGTATTATGTTATCACATGAGCGGGCGGGCGGGCGGGCG